GAAGGTCTGTTGGAATTTAACAGTCGACACCTCCTTTCTACAGAGGATCAGAAATGTAAGAACAGGATGAGTAGGCTTCATTATCTACAGACAATGAAAGAACAACGCAGAATAAATGAAGTGTACTTAATGAATGAGTAAGAGCCTGGACTATTTCTGAGAGCTTGTAACAGATGCAAACTCCAAGCTATCCAAGTACAGGCGACTTGATGATACGAAAGAAAAATTTTTCGAAGAAACCTGAATATGGAACAACTGTTATAGATTCATCATTAGTAGCCTCAACGTGAAAATCAGACTGCAGCAAGGAAGCGAATGTCCTGGGGCCGTCTTGATCATGGCTAAATCAATGGCAGCAATGAATGATTAGTGGAATTTGCTAAAACGAACCAATATTTAGTTTAACATTAACACTGTTTTAAAGAGAAATCAAACAAGAAATGGACATGCATAGGCCCAAACAATGCCAAGAATGAAATTATGATATTGTTTCGTTATACATAAAAGATGAACACTGAGCAGGTCATCGTGGTGTTGAATAGATGTAGTCCATTAAGAAATCACGGGATCGTCCGATGTCAAATTTTGCTCACAAAATAGAAGAATGGACTGTAACCAAGAACCCATAAGCAATTTAAAAGGGAGTGAAAATTTGTATATAAAACTGCAGAAAGTGCAATTCTGCAAAGCCTTTAGTGACTGTGGGAAGCCTGGAAACACAAATAAAATAGATGCCAAAGACAGTATTACAGTGAAACTCGTGAAATCAGGAGGCGAAGCATTGACCGAGATGTTAACGCCTTAAGTTAAATACCGTTTGAAGGAATTATAAATTACTTAAATTTTTACATTGGTACTACAGCGTTAATCATTTTTCTCAGTGGAAAAATGGGAGACACCGTGGCTTTGAAGAACTACCAGCCAATTAGTCTGCTTAAAATTGTCTATCTAAATATCACTATCTTGACGAAGGTACTGACAAACAAACTGTACGCTGTGCAACCAAAGAATAAATGAATATTTATAACTGGAGTTAGTACGGTTAAACACCTCTGGCATAGCAAGTAATTCCGACAAATAACGAATATCAGCTTTATCTATGCCTGATATTCGTAGAATTCGAGAAGGCCTACGATTCAGCACGTATCTGCTTCGTTCTCGATCATTTGAGAGGTCAGAGAATCGAGAGAATGTTTGTAAATCTAATAATTTACAAGATGATTCACGAGAGCACAGGCAAGTTCGAATTCAAAAATGGTGTTCGACAGAGACACCATATCACCGAAGTTGTTCAGAGCAGTTCTAGAAGAGGCTTTCTGAATAGTTAGTTAGAAAATCAGTTGCTGGACATAACAGGGCAGTGATTTAGGTCATCTGCGGTTTTCGTTTGACACCCTGATGCTCCCAAGGTCAGTAGGAGTATTCCAAAGGCGAATTTTAGAGCTTAACGACTTAGAGTCATAAAGGTATGACTGAAAATGAACTGAAGAAAACTGCGCTGTCAAGTACGTTATCTCATGCAGTACTTTCGCATGATTGAAAACGTTATCGTCCGAGAAACTGCCGGATATCCTGTGGGTGCCAGTGTGGACTCTAAGCCTGAAAGCTGTTCATAAACTGTAGATCAGGCAACGCAGCATGGAAAGATGCTTGTTAGAAATAACAGGAAAAGATAGGAGGACGCACAAATAAGAGCCTGTGATGCCGCTGCTGGAATGAAGAGATTAGAGCGACTGTTAGATAGGCTGGACATGTTGTTAGATGTGCCGATCAGAGAAACTTCAGATTTTGTTTCAAGAAAAACAAGACGACTATTAAACCGGCAGAAAGATTGACGGAACGATTAGGTGAACAAGCTTCTGCATCAATATGAATAAAAATGACAGCAAACAAAAGTTAATGTCGAAGCTCTGGAGTCGCCTTCGCCCAGCAGTGGATCGTTAAAATCTGGTGATTATGATACCCTACTCTAGATGAGTTGCATCAATCGGTGACCGTTAGCATATTCATGGTTGAAAGCACTACAGAACGCAGATTTTAATACATTATTGCTAAGGCATTTCGCCATCCAGCACACCGCACAATCAATAGACAAAAAGCCGTAATTCATACTTGAAATGCCTCGATTTAAAGTGGGTGACAGATTAACACCAGATTTGTACCTGCATATTCGTAACGTTTGGTTTTGTTCGCTTCCAACCACTCTTTATGCCATTCCAAACTTTCTAGTCAATTTCGTGATGTCATCCCTTCTTTCGCTGACCACAAACGAGGAGTGTTCGCTGATTAAGCGTTGTTTCACCGACAAAATATATAGAGAGCCATGCGCGAAACGACCAAGCCCAGATATATCGATTACGGACATATTCTTCTGACTGACATTGACTGACATCCGCTTCTGAGGAGCGTATCTCAAAAATGGCGTGTTGTGCAATGCCAGAGAAGTCAGTCTGTCAAAGGCGGACTGACAGTCCGGTCATTCAATAACCGATAGTTTTTCTGACGTATCTCTTATGGCGGTCATCGCAGCAAAGGATTTAAGCCACATTCGACGCCTCTTCCGAGCTGCGGTCGGTTAGTATACCTTTCGAACAGAAACACTGCCAAACTGATGCCGGTGTTACGGTAGACCATAAACCGAGTATCGTCTAAGTATTTTCTGATTGGCTAGATGTCAGACGTACGCATGACAAGACGACCATAGGTGTGTTTTGAAATGGCTTCATGACACTACAGTAGGGGTGGAAACATTCACTGTATAACGCCCTTCTTGAACACGTGGTAAGGGTATCGAATTTCAGGGTCTAAGGTCTAAGCGATGTCTCATGTTCCTCATACTGTTTCAGAAACGCATTGTGGTGCACTGGTGACGACGCTACAATGAGCGTGTCGAAACGAATTAATAATAATGCTTAAAATCCGCGTTGCTTGGTGCCTCAATAATCTGCCACTGCTTAGCATTTTTTGAAAAATATGTCGGATACGTTCCATGCCCAAATCCTCCATTCTTCCTTCAATATTTCTGAACATTGTTTTCAAGATTTAGCGACGAGCGACCGCATATTCGAATAGTTAAGAAAAAATTGAAAGCCAAAGAAAAAAATGTTGCAAGCCTTCATACCGAACGACACAGATTCCATTGATAAGCACACACTTAAGTTATACAGTTAAAGCGTTCGTATGATTTAGAATTTTCTCTAGAAAAAATGTCAACCTATAATCGTAAGCGTCATTCATCTACCTTTTCAAAGTTAGGGGCTCATTTCAAAAATGAATGAGTTAAGGTACTCTTCACAGGAACTCAAACGTTAAGACCACATTTGTGGAAATAGTTGAAGAGCAAGGCGGAGTTTTGACCATCTGGATGCTTCTTACGAGAGCCGTCAATGTCATAGAAAGCTTGAGGTTGAGGCTGATATAGTCATAAGGTAAAGAATCATATCAAAACACTTAAGTAATCATCTTCTAGGAGATTAAGGTCTTGTTCTGTGTTTTGGAACGTTCGGTTTGACGTTGCTAATCTGGAGCATACAAGTCTTTTAAGCTTATCACTGAAGTGAGCAGTAGAAATGTTCTTCGACTTCTGCGTACTTCGTATAAAGTGAGAACCTTTCAACTTTTAAAAACCCTGGATAAACCAACTCATGTATTCCCCCATCCTAAAAAACCGAGACAGGCTATAACAGTTCTATAACAACTTTCCCCATATGTGACTTCCGATCCAATAGCACACAGACAGTCTTACACTTAACCGGTCTCTCTGACGAACATCAGGACATTTTCGTACGCTGCAGTGTGTCAAATAGCGCAAGACCAGATTCCACGACGCATTCATCATCTGCTTGCTCTTTCTTCCCCTCTATCGGAGAGATCATAATTGCAAAGCATTTTAACTCATACGATGCCAGAAGCATGTGAAATAAATCTCGCCATGAAGGAATGTGCTAATGTGCTTCTCTTTACTGTCATTGTAACTGCCACGTAATTTGTTCTTATCAAACATTAACAGACATATAATCAAAACGTTGTCTCGTTTACGACCGTTCAAAGGAAATTTTTCTTACTGTCGCGGATGCTTATGTTGCTTTGTAGTTTTGAATCAATTAATCCTTTACGAAGATGCAGTTGTCCAAAAAAAAAACGCAAGGTTCTCTTCCTCGTGTACAGATTTTCAAAATGCAAATTAGTTTGCTTTGACGAATCCTGTAAGGACCCTTCGTGAGGGTTGCTTGATGGCGGTTGATCCGACTTGATGCGCAGGACATCAAGGGCAAGGGAATGAACCAAGCCGAGCAGCTGGCTTGGCCGTACGGCACCAAGACGTCTGTAGGCAACCACGAAACGTCGGTGGGTTATCGACAGCTGCTGAGACGTAATTTACGCTTTCCGGAATGACGGTTGACAGGAGTGATTGGAAGGGCACGCGTGCCACGACAGCAGATTCATCGGCGGCATCATCGCAGCACCTCGTCGGGTCCACGTTCACGGTCGAAGGTTCAGAATGACATCCTTCGTTTTACGATTTGGGCCTTAAGCCCTGGAAAATCAACAGGAAACACGTCGTTTCCAGACGGTTGTTCTTTCTGCCAGGTTGATGGGCGAACGGCGATTTGAATGACCACGTTGGAAGGTGTCTCAGGCCAAAGCCACGTCGACAACAAACCCAACAACAACGTAGCGAATAGCAGAAACAGCTGGCCACCGACGCCACAAAAATATCATAAACATTTACGACGATAGGGCTGTCAACGCAACGCAACAGGAGCTTGGCAAACGGCCCCCGGGAACGCAATATACCTAGGCGCATAAATTCTGAGAACGGACAGATGACCGTACTCTTAATGACGGCATTGAAAACGAGCAGTCTCTGATAAATCCATATTTCCGGGGTTTAACCTTATTACTTATGGCTACGGAACGAGGTATATCCGTAGGTAACGAGGGCGCCTGAGTTTCACCCCACAGAGGGGTGCGATTTCGTGTCCATGCACCGCAGTAGCTACTAAAATATCATGAATGTAGTTTCACAATGATTTGTTTCCTAAATATTTCATGATTAACATGATGACGGTGAATTCGTTCCTTCCTGTCCTGCGGTAATGCATCAGACGATTTCTGTTCTGGATTTACTGGACAGCAGCGAACCTCAAGGATCAGAGGGATCTGCACTCTTCAAATTCACATCAAGATACGCACTGAATTGCGGATGAAGCATCTTTCTCCCAATTAGGAAACCTCTAGATTATATGAAATTCGGCATATTTGTAGATCAGGATTTGAAGCTACAATGGGTCTCAACGACGTAGAAAAATTTATAAAATTTATTTAATGAATTTACACCGACTTTTGACGCTTCAGACAAATAAAACGTTGTTACGCACGGTGATTACTATCTGCGGTCCTTTCTGCACCAAAAAAAAAGAATTGTGAAAACACAAAAGCTTCAGTTATACTATACTACCAGTTTTTCCTTTTGTTCATTTATTCATTGAGTAATCGTTTAATCTGCCCACTATTAGTCAGTCCATTCATCAATCAATTTACCGCTTCTTAATCGGTCTAACCATCCATCCAGCTGTTCATTCGTCAGTACATTGTATTGTCCCTTCATTTATCAATTCATTAATTGCTCCTTCCTTCCTTCCTTCATGCTTCACTCGTTCTTTCACTTATCAAAGCACTCTTTCGTCGTCTGTTCATTCATTCATTCATCCGCGCATCAATCATTCGATTTATTCAGGAAATTTCACCATCCCATGTTGTTTCGAATTCTGAAGTTGCGACTTAGGAGGTTTTGTGATCGTCCTGTCTTTGGTCGATTGCGAAACGCTGTATTGAATGCTGCTCCGTATTTTAGGCTCACTTGCACCTGAGTCCGAGAAGAGACGTGGATGTTTTGACCTCCGGGTGTGAATTTCCCTCACAGTCGTGGTCCTCTTGGAACTTTCAGGCGATCCCATTTGTTGTCTTGAACAGATATTGGTTCGCCCGATACGGTTGCGACTCAAACTGGTTAGCAGCCACGTACTAGCAATAAAACAGTATCGTACATCATTTTCAGGTGAACTGAGTAGAGCGAGTCAAAGGTAGACTCAGAAGTAGACTGTTGCTGCCATGATCTTCATCTTTCAAGTGACCTGGCATTGTCGACTGTACTAGGCTTCGGACTACTACTTTGGATGGTTCAAACAACGAGGCCCGAATTCACTGTTTACCGAATTGATTCGCAAACCTTCTCACATTGCGAACGTAATTGAAATGTTATCATGGAAATGTAATTATCACGTTTTACGTTCGGCTAGACAGCCTTGCCTTGTAATTCAACTTTTACCATTACAAGACCTAATATATTTTCACCCACCTTGAACGAAGCACTGAGGAGTGAGTGAGATGTCGTCAAGGCCGAAATCTCCATGAAAGACAGCAATTCGAATTGCGGCGAATTGGAGGTAATACCTGCAGGAAGACAAAGTGATGAGTGCGTCGTCCTCACAAAGGCAATGCACCGCTGCCGCCGCTGACTTACTCGGTTTCCTGGTACGGAATGACGGCGGACACCCTCTGCCAGTAGTAACTGTGCTGATCGGCCGACAGGAACCCTTTGTCCTCTTCCCATATCTTTTCCCTGAAACTCTCGTCGGCTGTCACGACAAAGAGAAACACCGAATGCCAGTCGCGACCGAAGTGATGGTAATAAAACCGGACCTGTACGAGAAAATGTCACTCACCTGAAAAGACCGAAAATCGCTCATTCGACACGACTTACCCTGCACTGGCGGTAGTACGGCGATTTCGGGTCGTTCAACGCTTTGGACATCGGCGGAAACTTGGGACTGACCAGAAACGCCCTTTGCATTCGCTCGCTGTTGCCCTGCTGCACGTACATGAAGTGACCTAAGAATTGTCATCGCATAAGAAGCGCAGCTGATGGACAACGGCTTCGCTGGCGATTGGGGGGGGGCTTACCGGAAACGTTGCCCAAACTGTGATCAGAGACCAGTTGTATCATCGGGTCGTCCTTCTCCAGATTCCTACGATAGGTCGCATTCGCCCTGAGCCACTTGAAGTCCCCGTCTTTCGTTGTCGACCAACCGCAAGTGTCTGATTCAAAGTCGCATCTTCCGCCTCGCGGCACTTTGTCTGCAAAATGACAGATCAGTCTTTGAAGGCGGTCGTTTGTTAAATAAAGTACACATATGTTAATGAAGCTAGCTGCGCTTCAAGGTTCATATCGTCGCTGATTGTAGTTGTTATGTCTGATTCTGGGACAGATTCTAATGCTTGAGCTGGTGGCTTACTTAAACCGCTGGTCATCAGCATCTGCTCGTTCGTACCTGCGGTCAAACCGCACTTTGAAGACTGTTACCTCACAGCGGAAGCTATACAGACCAGACTCATGACGCTTCATATCAAGCAGATGTGTTTAGAGACTGTGCACCGTGAATTCGGCTACTTTCACATGGCGATCTTTATGTCCGCCCTTATGGTTCGATACTTCCATTCTCATACAGTTCATCCAAATTCTCTCATGTTAAACCATTATGCAGATTCACTAGTGTCGATGTCCGCTGTCGTTATCCAACATACCTACAGTATTTGAAATGGTTTCACTCGTTGATAGTAATTCCATCCCACAGTATCTTCAGGCTCTTATAGTAATACCAGGGGCTATTGAATTGGAAGACCGTCACGCGCAATTTAAATGCACTTTGCATTATTTTATTGGCTGGCTCCATAAATGCTTATCATACATAATAAAAGGTCGAGAATGTTGTCTGCTTTCGTCAAGCATCAAAACGTCCGCAATGTTAATGCCGCAATCATGCTAATAAGGATATTGCAGTAGTATGGTACCTAGCGCAAAGCAAAAGGGTTATGTCATGCATCTCTGCAAATTTTGACTGCAACACTAGGCACTAATTTATACACTATGGCCCACGAACACATCTTTACTACGTCGACAATATTGCTGCTGTTCTGTAAAGTATCTAACATACCCCTCTGGTATACAGTAGGATCACAAACTGGGAGATCAGCTTAGCAGCCGAGCACTAGTGCCTGTTTCGCTTTATCTAATGCCAATTATAGCCCACGGTCTAACTTCATGTAAGGAACATGAGCCGGTGTTCCTCACAATGTTCCTCGTATCCTTCTGGAGGTGAATAAGAAAATCCGTCAGAGAGAAGGCTGTCACCTAGAAGCTCAACCTGAATATCACTGTGGCGATACGTGGAATGATTCCTAATGCCTAGCCACCCAATTTACGTTCACGATTGAACAAGCCTACCTCAGTGCGATAAAAACCATTGTTCAAGCTTCCAACTACGCAGCTGTCCTTAACAACTAACATCAAGACGAGGTTGAGGCCGGTCTACGGGAAGCCTCTGTGCTGAAACCGTACTTCTTTATTGCGCTGTGTCTAATAAATGTCGAATATGAGAACTCAAACTCCACAACCTCATCACATAATGTTGTATGTCCTGTTGTTTCGTACATGTTTGACGTTTCCGGTGGCATATTTTTCTCACATTGCGCATTACGCGCTGCTATGCTTTTTGTCCGGTATTTCCATACAACTTGTCAATCATCATCCACAGTCCAGAAGCAGAGAAATAGCTAGTCTTGCCTGAATACGGACCAGATATCTCCTTGCCTCATTTTAGCCCCCCTCCCATTGAGGGTGCACTGAGGGAAAGCTGTTACGAGATCTAGCCGGTTACCATACCAAGCACAAGCGTGTGGCATATGTTCGTTCAGCAAATTCGGTCTGACACTTGCCGTCTCGAAACGCAGCTGTTTCGCAGCAACGAAACACGTCCGAATAAATTTTTCTTCTTTATTATACGAGCAACGCCTGCTGCTGTTGAACAAGCATAAAATGGGAACTGCTATTCTGCTACTGGTCGCAGGTGGTCGCATATTTCTCGAACATTCCGTCGACCACCTCCTACTACTCAAACACGTCAATTGTGTGCAGACGTTGCAGAACATTTTGTGGCAACAGGAAAGGACAAGAGGAAGGTGTGTTTAGCAGTAGGGATGTTGGAACGCTAGCCACCCTTGCCTTTCGTCATTTGCTGATATGGATGCGTCATATATATCCCTGCTCATGAACCGATGGTGAAAAGCTGATCAGGAACGAGGGAATATTTTCAACGCGTTGTCTACAGTCATGTAACCAACGTAATATATAGTTTTCTACTTGCTTCCCACAAACTGACCCATGGATGAATTTCTCGAAAAAGAATGAGGTGAGTGACTGGACCGAAGCTCGAATTCCGGGCGTTTTCACCTGGACGCTCTATCGACTGACCAATGGGCAACCCGGGTCGAATAACATCCAATGCCCTTGTTCAGAATCGAAAAAAGGATTCATTAAACGGCATGGTACAGCATGATGTTAAGGTATAGGAGACGGCTGGTCACCAGACAGATACCCAGAATAGATACCACAATAATGTGTTGGACAACTGCTTAAGAAAAATGGCTTCATCGTTTTTTACGATGACAAAATAAATCAATTTATAACTGAAATATTCGAATTGATTTTCGATGTATCATATTCTAATTTAAACTCATTTTAAATGACTCGAAGTGTAGTTCTTAAAATAGTCTGATGTTTTACGAGTCTCAATCACACGCAGTGTAGAGGCCCTGTTAAACGGAACATGCTAGGAAAAAGAAGAAGAATTTCAAGCAGCGTCTCGTTCGGTCGTTGATCAATACGACTTTGAGAACGACATGGATGTCCCTTTTCCATAGCTAATCATGAGAATGACACGGAGTTATGTAGAGAGACCTCCAAGAGGTGATATTTGCGGTTGCGTCGATGCAAAATGGATCGTGGAAAGCCCTTACAGCCAATTAGATTATGAAGAAAATTCAAGATTTGAAAATCCTTTTAATGGATGACACCCCGCATATCAAATTTATCACAAGCATATTCTTGGAGAGATGAGGTACTGATCCACTGTACAGGGGAGAAACCGGAGGAGAAGACATGGTCATGTCCGTGAGCGGGTCCAGGTTCACGAAACAGTCACCTCGAATCCCACTCCTTCAGGACAAAGGGGAACGGACGCTGTGTCCAAGACGTCCGGGAAACGTGGATAACAGCCAAGACCACTTGCCATGATCGACAAAACAAGGAAAGCGTCAAAAATGACTTTCATTCCACTCCGTGCAGCTCCAGGTAGACTACGGCGCACTGCAGCACGGGACTGACAGATGGTGCACGAAGGGCTTCAAGTTCCATTGGGAAACGTTCGTCT